ATTATTATTATTATTATTATTATTATTATTATTATTATTATTATTATCATCATCATCAACAACAACAACAAATCCCAGATTATGGTTCACAAATCACAAGGATTGAGTTCACAGACGTGAAGTCAAAAACAAGCCATAACAAAACTTGGTGTGTTGCATGAAAGAGGACAAAATAAACCACAAAACATGAGGAACATGCACACAATGATTTTCTCTGTCTTTGGGTTTGACATCAATAGTAGAAGGAGATACAGAATACTTGATACAGATTGCTTGCAATGCATTTCTCTGCTTCTTGAAATGTCCCGGGGGATCTTCACAAGTGGGTCTTGAATTCTTCTTATATACCACATGCTTCAGAACAGTAACTGGCTCTGTGGACCATGACAAATTGCTTCTGTGTCCCTTGCTATAAGAAGATATTGAAGATTAAGACAGAGATATTGCACATGGGGTACATCATGAACCAAGAAAACAAGGCATCCTCTCAAAAATCCTGAGAATGGAGAATGCTATACTTCCCAAACACTGAATTAAGGGGTAATATTTTAACAGATATTTTTGCTTTGCCGCTTACTTGTAGGCATAATGAAACATAATTTAACCATGTAGAAAATGGCTTCTACTAGCATGAATTAAATAAGACAATAGCATAAATGAAAATGATCTGAATACTTTCATATATATTATAGTGGGTAAAAATATTTTGCATCCCAAAAATAATGTAGGGAGGAAAATTTGAGAACTGTTTTTTTTTTTTTTTTTTTGCCTTTGATTTCTAAACATCTAGAAAGATTGTTTTTTCAGCAGAAATCAGATGATGAAAAATACAAAGGTTTTTATTGTAAAATTTTATTGTAAACAATAACAACAATATCTATTGTTAACAAGTGATGTGTATTTTTGCAAATTTTTCATACGTAGGTTTCTTGAGAGCAATGACCTTTAATATTACTCTGTAAAACTAAGCAATGTTTACATAGTTCAAAAGTGATAGATTAAGTCAGGTGATTTCCAATGTGTATTATTTTGGGTCTCTTTTATAAGAAATAAATCTGATTCCAATAATTAATATGGGAATATAGTACAGAACTCAGTAGCACCTAGTCCACATAATGTTATCTTCAATCACTGTTTTAAGTTAAGCTAGAATTGGGTAGAAGTTCACATGCCATCATCCAGGATTTACATACCATCAATGCCTGCTGTATGCCACATTATGGATATGGGGAACGTGTCTTGATATTATTCAGAACAATTATTAGATTTCTTTCATGAAGTTACATTGTGAGGCTGAAAACAACAGAAGTTTTCCATGTTTCACTGTGCAAAGAATGAAATCAGTGACTACTCCTCAACTGTTATTTTAAAGTCGATACTTAAACGTCATTAGCAAACCCATGCATTTCTCTTGGGCAAAAAGCGTGAGCCTCAGAAAAATGGAAAGGCAAAAATGCTACCATTATGTCCTGCCTAGACAAAAAAATGTGGGTGTACCTTAGCTTTTCCAACACCTCTTCTTACTCTAAATTTGCTCTCTTCTATAGAGCTTCTATGGATCAGTGAAAACTCTGGGAATGTTCTTAAATTTAGAATAACAGAATGACAGAGTTGAAAGGTACCTTGGAGGTCTTCTAATCCAGTCCAACCTCTTGCTCAAGCAGAAGATCCTATGCCATTTTAGACAAGTGGTTGTCTAGTCCCTTCTTTAAAAACCTCCAGTGTTGGAGCACCCACAACTTCTGAACGCAAGCTATTACACTGATTGATTGTTCTCGCTGACAGGAAATTTATCCTTAGTTCTAGTTTGCTTCTCTCCTTGTTCAGGTTCCATCCATTGTTTCTTGCCTTGCCTTCTGGTGCTTTGGGAAATAGGTTGATCTCCATTTTTTTTTTATAAATTTATTCAGTTTTTCACATTAAAAACAAAAATCTCTTTTTAGTGGACAACATATTTCCGGATCATCACCTTTACATACAAATATGACAGCAATTATACATTCATATATGCATACTTAATTCTATTATTACCTTTTCCATCTCAAATTTTCAGTAAGGAGAGAAACAAACACATTAATTCTAGCCTCTTTCATTAATCTCAATCGAAACATCTTTTTGTTTCATTTCAATTATTTCAAATATAATCTTTTAATATTTATTTTAAAAATAAAGATAAACAATATGTGTTTGCCTAATAATAATAATAATAATAATAATAATAATAATAATAATAATAATGGTTACCAATGTCTCTCCTTGCTTTTAATAGTCTATATTAACTTATTAATTTAGTTGGTTCTTTAGTCTGTCATATTCCTTTTCCATTACACATTCTTTTTATAAATTCTAGATTAATACAAATTTTAACACTAAAGAAAAAAAAACAAGTATAGGTTCCCCCCCCCCTTTACTGCTTTGAGTGTGACACCTCAGTAATTAAAATATACCTTTATTCCCTCATCTTGATTCCCAATGAACCATTATTTTTAAGAAGTTACAATAATAATCATTACATCTTTTCATTTGGATTCCGCAGCATATTTCCCCCCCTTAATTTTTTAATAAGAGTTATCAGTATCTATATTACCCTATTTTCTAAATATTTTTAATTGCAGAAATATTCTTATTACCCCTTGTCACCCTGCAGAATCCCCTTTTTAATTCATCAACCATTATCTCTGAAAAAACAATTTCTTTTCAACATTTTACTATTTCCGTATTTCTTCATTTCATGTACCTGTTTCTTACTGCTTCTCCTCCCCCTCTTTTCCCTATATCTTTTCTCATTCCAATTTATATCCCTCTCTTTCTTAATACCTTCCTTTCCCCTTTTCTGCTGGGTCTTTTTGCCTTTCCCGACTTTACAGGTACTCCCCCTTTTGATTGTCTTCTTAAATCTCAACTTTTTAACCTTCCTTCTTTCCCCACTTCTTTGTAGCATTCTTTGTGTTAATTGTCTATTTAAGATGTCTTCTCCTTGAGTTGACACCTCCTCCTCTGAAGCTCTTTCTTCTTGTTCTTCAATCGCCATTTCCATTTTTTCTAACACAGAGCAAAGTGATTTGCCTCTTTTCTGTAGTAATTCTCTCATATTTTTAAGTTCAATTTTTAATTCCCGAAGAGATATCATCATTACACACTCTTATATTTTATGATCACTAAAGTCCACAAAAAAAAAAAAAACACTTTTACACTTTTTCTTTCTTCTTTCAGTTTTCTAAAGTTCTCAATTATTCCAGCCCAGGGTCTATACTAAAAACATCAATCAATCCCACAGTCAGTCTTTCCTTGCTTTTTTCTTTATTCTGGTTCTTGTTTCACTTTTTAAGATTCTTACTTTGTTTCAATATTTCTTTAATGTTATATCCACATAAGTTCATTCAAAAACAGGATGCTTTCCCTTTTGTTTGAGCTCAAGTTTTTGTCAAAAGGTAGCACTCTCCATTATACAAAGTCTTCACCTTTTTCCCCTATTTTTTTATTTAGGGTTTTTCGAACCTCAATATTCCAACACAGTCCAGTCTCTAATTTGTAAATTTTATTATTATTATTATTTGACAATCTTAAGTCCAGCTTTATTTTATGCCTGTTTATTGCCAAAATATTTTAGTCCAATTTAGTTAAATCTTTAGTTCCAGCTTCTTCCTTTCCTGGTTCGAAGCCCCACTTAGCTGTCAAAAATATTTTCTTTTTTTTTTTCCTGTCCCTTTGTAATTTTGCTGCTCACTTTTCTTTTCTTAAAAATTCCATGTTACCTTAATCCCGGGGTACTTTTGTTCAGTTGTATCACCCAGTTGTCCCAGTTCAGATGTTATCCACCTCTTTCTTCCCTCCTGCACAAATCTAAATCTTAATGGGGTGGCCATTTTAAACCACCGCTGCAGTCGTCTTCAGGGGGAAAAAGACCAAGCCCAGGGGGGGAGATGCGGCTCCCCTCAAACTGGCTTGCGGCTTCCCCTTACTCCACCACCCCTCCAAAGCATCTTCAGCCCCTAATCGTAATGATCGGGGCTCTCCAACGAAACAGCACAGACCATAGCCGCAGAGAGTCGCGATCTGTGGTCCGTAAGCGAGGAGGCTCCGCCTTCTTTCGGGTTGATCCCCATTTTTGTGGCAGCCACTCAAATATTGGAACACTGTTATCATGTCACCCCTACTCCTTCTTTGCATTAGACTAGATATACCCAATTCCTGCAACTGTACTTCACATGTTTTAGCCTTCAGCCCTCCTACTCCCCCAATCATCTTTGACTGTTCACATTGGATATGTTCACATTTGTTTGTTTGCATTGGTTTTAGGTAAAGATATTGAAAGAGAATTTGGACCCATCTCAGAAGAACAATCTGGAAAATACTGAGCAAAGGTGACATAACCAAACAATAGCAATCCAGAAAAAGATATTTGCATGTCAAGGATTGTTTTTGAAACATGGAGGGATCCCATCTAACTACATTTGGATTAGCCACATCCAGAATTAGTCTACAAGGAAGAAAAACTTAGAATAACATATCAAAAGAATCTTGCTCTGATTCAAACCATCAGGTTTTAATTTCTCTTTGATTTTAACAAAAATGGAAACTGATAAAATGATGCCCATTTGAAACATGTAATCAAAAGAAGAAGGGAGATTGGAAATTAATATGTTCACTCTGTTTTAGGAATAAGCTGATGACAAATGAGACCACAGTATGGGAATTCATATTGTTAGGGCTGACTGACAACTTTCCCCTTGAAGTTACCCTTTTTCTCCTCCTGTTTGGAATTTATCTTTCGACTTTAATAGGAAACACAGTGATTATTATTATCACACAGATGAATGTTCAACTCTGTAGCCCAATGTATTTCTTCCTCCGATATTTGGCATGGGTAAATATTGGGTTTATGAGTACTGTAATTCCCAAAGCACTGGTCAACATAGCTACTGGTAGTAAGAGCATCTCTTTAGCTGGTTGCTTCATACAGATATTTCTTTATTTGGTCCTTGGTACCACTGAGTTCCTCCTAATAGCTACAATGTCTGTTGATCGATACATAGCCATCTGTAACCCTCTTCACTACCCAACCATCATGAATACTCGAATCTGCTCATTATTGGTATTTTGTTGCTTGGCTGGGGGATTATCACTAATTCTAGTTGCATGCATTCCTTTATTTCTAATGCCATTTTGTGGTCCTAATGTCATGAATCATTTTTTTTGTGACAATGGACCCCTAATGAAACTGGCCTGTGTTGACACCAGCTCCCTAGAAATGATTCATTTTGTAATTGCCGTATTCTCTCTGCTTGGGACCTTAAGTGTCAACATTGTGTCTTATGTCAAAATCATTTCCACCATTCTGCGCATTCCATCAACCACAGGGAGGAAGAAGGCCTTCTCCACTTGTGCTTCTCACTTTACCATGGCCACTATCGCTTACAGCAGCTGCCTTTCCATGTACATCAAGCCAACAAGCACCAGCGGATTGGATTACAACAAAATGGTGGCTCTTCTGAATACAGTTATAAGTCCTTTTTTTGTCCCTATCGTATACTGTTTGAGGAACAGACAAGTGCAAGATGCTTTGAAGGCTGAACTGAGACAAAGGATCCATTTTGCAAAAAAATGAGATGATTTGCTATTGATATGACTTTGTTAGATGTTCAGTTTAGATGTCTTAGAATTCACCATTAAGCTATAGCATGCACTGCCTTCAGATGTAATAATTGCCCACTGAGATGGTCTTACAAAGGGACTTGAGAATGCATTGAGCATGGGGTAGTCAGGGATGGAAACATGTGATTGATCAAAGGCAGAATCCCTGAAAAAATGGTTGCTAGTGAAGAACAATAGAAAAAGACAATTGCCCACCTCTCTTTGTTGTCAATTTACAAAACACATCTGGTTGCAAATTATGTGACAAAGGAGGCATGAGAGTTTCATTTAAGGCATCCTCAAAGGTCTTGCCATCTTCTGAAGCAGAACACACAGCTATCCTCTGTTAATTGTTTCTTGCATCTAAGTATGTTTTATTAGTAGGCACTTTGGGTGGATCATATGCAATACAATACAAGAAGAGATTTGGGTTTGATTCACATATGGAGTCTATTGGTGAATATAGCTATTCCTCTTGAAGTTTTATCCTAACTAGAAAAACAGAATGCCTTAAATGCATCATCAAACTATAGTATATGCTGCCTTCAGGTGTAATAATCACCCACTGAGCTAGCCTTACAAAGAGGCTTGAGAATGCATAGAGAATGATGTGATCAGGGATGGAAACAACTGATTGAAGAAGAACATACACCTACCCTCTGCGAATTGTTTCTTGCATCTAAGTATGTTTTATTAGTAGGTCATATATGTAGTAGACAGTTATTTATTTATTGCCACCTATTCACACATGTATTTCTTTATTCACCACCTATTCACACTAAATCAGAAATGAGGAAGTGATAAGTTGCCCGGGAAAGCCAAGGGAAATCATCAAAACTATAAAAAATATTTTGGACATGTGATGTGACACTCGGTAAAATATGGCATACTTCTCTTAATCCTCCAAAGAAAGATTGAAGGCAAATGAAGTCCAGGCAGAAGAAGAACATTGTGGCTTCAAACTCAACAGCATTTTTTTTGTGTGGTTGTTGGTAAAAATAGGATCACCAATGTCTGATGATGGATATGGCACAAGAAGAAGAATTTGCACATGCTGACCAGTGGTGGGATTCAATTTTTTTTTACTACTGGTTCTGTGGGCATGGCTTGGTGGGCATGGCATGACTTGGTGGGCATGGCTTGGTGGGCATGGCAGGGGAAAGATACTGTAAAATCTCTTTTCCTTCCCCACCCCGCCCCCACTAACCTGTTTTTGAGCTCTGTTCTTCTGTGCAGAGCAACAAAAGAAGACCCAGCCAATCACCTGGACTCAGGAAGCAGAGAATAGATGATGGGGCCAGTCAGACGTTGTATTTGCCAGTTCTCCAAACTACTCAAAATTTCTACCACCAGTTCTCCAGAACTGGTAGCAGAAGTGGGGAATGGAGATCTGTGATTATGGAATATCATCAGGCAATGATTCTGAATAATCCTGAATATAAAAGAAAATGAGTAGTGAATACAATAAGAAATTTGGGTTTGGTTCACATATGGTGTTAATATTGGTGAATGTGGCTATTCCTCTGGAAGTTTTTTCCCAACTAAAATAACAGAAGTGGGGAATGGAGGTCTATGATTATGGAAGATCATCAGGCAATGATTCTGAATAAACATGAATATAACAGAAAATGCATAATGAAGGCATGAAACATGAGATCCAGGGTTAGAGAATGTAGAAATTAATATTTGTAAGCTCCCCACAGTCACCTCAATATGAAGTGGGCAGCAAACAGACTTAATAAATAAAATGAATAAAATAAATTTCTAACGAGGTGGTATTTGTTTATTAATTCAAATCAACCCACAAGATTATCAAACTTTTTTAAATTGTAGCATCTCATTTCTCAAGACTGAACAAGAATTTATGCAAAGTTGCTTTGGCATATTGGGGGAAAATGGTAGGCAAGGCCTCCCTTCCTTTATCTTGCTCACTGTGACTTAAGTTCTCATTTTTAGATCCCTTTTGGTATCCAAATATTAAGGAAAGATTGAAAGAAGAGGGAAGTTCCTGAATGACTCACAATGCAAGCAAAACTACAGTTGGATAAAAGAAATATGATTCCAGAGAAGAAATGGACCCCAACTTGCAAGTTCTGATTATGTTCTGTGAAGCACTGCAATTCTTCCTCAAATATCTTCTGTCTGAATCCACTGTCCCACTGGGAGATTCGGTTTTTATTAACACTGGTCAATGGAATTAGACATAGTCAAGTCCATTTGATTTCCATTATTTTCAATGTGTTTTGCAAAAATTATGCTTGTACTTTTCTATTCAAAATCGTTTGAGAGAAAACTGATTTGTATTATTCAATCCGAACTGAACAGCTAATCAAATCAATCTTCTTTTTTTAAATAATTTTTTTATTAATTTTTCAAATTTTAAAAAACATAAAACAAAACTTTATACATTGTTATCAACATCAAGACATCTTTTGCATTTCCTCACATTTTTCAGTATATGTATTTACTTATTCCTTTACCATTATATCTTACTCTTACTATAAATCAATATCTTTTATCCTTACATCTCAATCTTCTCCATGGTATATTTACATATTTACATATTCCCTCATTCTTTTCCTAATTGCCATTTTATTTTATTTTTATTTCTAAACCACTCATACCAGGCATACCAGACCCTATAATAAATTGAATCTGTCTTTTATTTTCATCATTAGCCTGTCCATCTCTATACAATCTGTTATTTTTTTAATAACCATGCCTTCTGGTGGAACCCTTTTTTCCTTCCAGAGTTGTGCATAAGAAATCCTTGCACCTGTTAATATATGTAACATAATATATCTATCTGTTTTGTTGCATTTTTGTGTTATTATACCTAATCAAAAAGTTTCCGGATTAAATTCAATTTTCTGATTCGTGATTTCTTCTATCCATTGTTGAATTCTATTCCAATATTTTTTCACTTCCTGGCATGTCCACCAGGTATGAAAATAAGTGCCTTTTTCTTTTCCACATTTCCAACAATTTGGGTCTGAATTTAACATTTTTGCCAATCTAGCGGGAGGAAGGTGGCATCTGTAGAACATTTTGTATTGATTTTCCTTGTATGCTGTGGATGTAATTAGTTTGTAATTTGATCTCCACATTCTCTCCCAATTTTCCAGGTCTATATTATGGCCAACATTTTTCACCCATACCACCATCATCTCTTTGACCATCTCCTCTTCCATTTTAAAATCTAGTAGAAAGTTGATTCTTGAAATCATTTTCCATTTTTTGTAGAATTTAATCTAATTGATGCTTTTCCATGCAGAAACCAAATTGTTCTTTGTCCTTCTGATATCTCGCCTGGATTTGCATGTATGGGCACCAATCTATCTTTATATTTTGTTGCTGTAATTTTTGTCTCATTTTTAATCTTCCTTGTGGGTCTAATAGGTCTTTGTAACTCCTTTTTTCCCCAGATCCATTGCGTTTGGGTATATTTGTGCTTCCATAGTTGACAACCAGTTCGGTATTTTAGTATAATGTTAATCTTGTTCCATGTCTGAATTAATGAATCTCTAATCATGTGTCTCTGAAAATATGCATGCTTTTTACATTTCCCATCCCATAGGAAATTATGCCACCCTCTCTGCAAGTCGTGACCCTCTATTGACAATACTCTTCTATTTTCCAGGTTGATCCAGTCTTTAATCCATACCATCGCCACAGCCTGATAATACATTTCCCAGTCAGGGAGTCCAAAGCCACCCCTTTCTCTTTTGTCCTGTAACAATTTCATTTTTATCCTAGCTTTTTTCCCATCCCAAACAAATTTACTTATTATTTGATCTAATTCTCTAAAAAAGGTTTTATCCAATCCTATTGATACTGTTTGAAAAAGATACAGTATTTTTGGTAGGGTACACATTTTAATTGCCACAATTTTCCCCAGTAGTGTTAGCTGTAATTTCCCCCACGTTTCCAATTCTTTTTTGATTTGTATTATTAATTTGTCATAGTTATCTTTTTTAATTGAAGAGCATCTTGCTGTTAACCAAATGCCGAAATATTTTACCTTTTTCACACTTTGCATTCTCAATTTTTCTTCTAATTCTTTTTTTTTTTTTTGCTTATCTTTTAAATTTTTAGTCAATAATTTTGTTTTGTTTTTATTAATCTTAAGGCCTGCAACCTTGCCAAATTTCTCTATTTCCTTTATTAATTTTACTCCTGTATCCTCTGGATCTTCCAGAAAAAATACTATATCATCGGCAAATGCCTGTACATTATAATGCTCCTTTTTAATTAAAGCCCCTTTGATTTCTACATTTTTCCTAACATTTTCCAATAAGTTTTCTAAGGTAAGAATAAAGAGAAGGGGTGACAGTGGGCATCCCTGCCTTACTCCCTTGTTGATCTTAAATGTTTCTGTTCTGTCACCATTCATTATTACACTGGCCGTCTGTGTCGTATAAATTGTCGAAATCAATTTAATAAATTTATTGCCAAATTGCATGCTTTTTAATTGTTGTATTATAAACTGCCAATTAACATTGTCAAATGCTTTTTGTGAATCGAGGAAGACCATTGCCAATTGTTTTCCTGGGTTTGCTTCATAATATTCTATTATATTCAATACCATTCTAGTATTATTTTTAATTTGTCTATTTGGTAAGAATCTGTTTTGGTCACTATGAATGATCTGGTTAAAGGTTTTTTTCAATCTTTCTGCCATTATGGACATAAATATTTTATAATCAACATTTAAAAGGGATATGGGCCTGCAATTTTGAATTAATTGATGGTCCGAATCTTCTTTTGGGATCAATGTTATATATGTCTCCCCGCATGACTTAGATAATTTTGCTGTTGTCAGTACCTCATTATAGAGTTCTAATAATTGCATTTCTAATTTTCCTTGGAGTATTTTATACAGTTCCCCAGGGAGACCATCCGGTCCCGGTGTCTTATTGTTTTTCTGTTTCAGGATTGCCTCTTGCAGTTATTTCCCTGTTTATCTCTTCTTTA